AACTCAAGATCAAGAAATTCACTAAAATGACACAACTAAATGGAAATAGAAGAGCCTGCTCCTGAATGACTCTTTGGTAAATAATGAAATTAAGGCAGAAATCAAGAAGTTCTTTGAAACAAATAAGAAACAGGAGACAATGTACCAGGGTCTCTGGGATACAGCTAAAGTGGTATTGAGAGGGAAATTTACAGCACTAAACACCCATTCAAAAAGCTAGAAAGATCTCAAGTCAACAATCTAACATCACAATGAAAAGAACTAGAGAACCAAAATCAAACAAACCCTAAAGCTAGTAAAAGACAAGGAATAACCAAGATCAGAGTGGAACTGAATCAGATGAAGACATGAAAAATCCTGAAAAAAAAAAAGTCAAAAAAATTCAGGAGCTGTGTTTAAAAAAAAAAAAAATCAATAAAATAGACCACTAGCTAGACTAATAAAGAAGAAAAGAGAGAAGAATCAAATAAAAACAGTCAGAAATGATAAGAGAGATATCACCACTGACCCCACAGAAACACAAACAATCATCAGAGAATACTATAAATACCTCTGTGCACATAAAATGGAAAATCTAGAAGAAATGGATAAATTTCTAGGACACACACACCCTCCCAAGACTGAATCAGGAAGAAATCAAATCCATGAATTGACTAATAATGAGTTCTGAAATTGAGACAATAAAACAAAACTTCAGAACCTGACAGAGTCACAGCTGAATTCTCTGAGGTACAAAGAAGAGTTGGTACCATTTCCACTGAAGCTATTAGAAAACAATAGAAGAGACTCCTCACTAACTCATTTTAAGAGACCAGCATCATCCTGATACCAAAACATGGCAGAAATACAACAAAAACAAGGAAACTTCGGGCCAATATCCCCGATGAACATCAGTGCAAAAATCCTCAATAAAATACTGGCCAACTGAATCTAGCAGCACATCAAAAAACTTACCCTTCACGATCAAGTTGGCTTTTATCCTTAGGATGCAAGTTTGGTTCAACATACACAAATCAATAAATGTGGTTCATCACATAAACAAAACTACTGAACAGGCAAAAAGCTGGAAGCATTCCCCTTGAAAATTGGCACAAGACAAGGATGCCCTCTCTCACCACTCCTATTCAACATAATATTGGAAGTTACGCCCAGGGAAACTAGGCAAGAGAAAGAAAGAAAGGATATTCAAATAGGAAGAGAGGAAGTTATCTTCAAATTATCTTTGTTTGCAGATGACATGATCCTATGTCTTGAAAACCCAGTCATCTCAGCCCAAAAGCTTCTTAAGCTGATAAGCAACTTCAGTAAAGTCTCAGGATATAAAATCAATGTGCAAAAATAGCTGGCATTCCTATACACCAACAACAGGCAAGCAGAGAGCTAAATCATGAATGAACTCCCATTCACAATTGCTATAAAAAGAATAAAATACATAGGAATACAGCTAACAAGGGAAGTGAAGAACTTCTTCAAGGAGAACCCCAAACTACTGCTCAAAGAAATCAGAGGACACAAACAAATGGAAAAATATTCCATGCTCATGGATAGACAGAATCAATATCATGAAAATGGCCATACTGCCCAAAGTGATTTAAAGATTCAATGCTATTCCCATTAAGCTACAATTGACATTCTTCACAGACTTAAAAGAAACTATTTTAAAATTTGTACAGAACCAAAAAAGAGCCCAAATAGCCAAGACAATCCTAAGCAAAAAGAACAAAGCTGGGGGCATCACACTATCCAACTTCAACTACTCTGCAAGGCTACTGTAACCAAAACAGCATGGTACTAGTATAAGAACAGAGACATAGACATAGACCAATGGAACAGATTAGAGAACTCAGAAACAAGATTGCACACTTAGAACTGTCTGATCTTCACCAAACCTGACAAAAACAAGCAATGGGGAAAGGATTCCCTATTTAATAAATAGTGCTAGGAAAACTGGCTAGCTATATACAGAAAATTGAAAGTGGACCCCTTCCTTCCACCTTCCACAAAAATTAACTTAAGATGGATTAGAGACCTAAATGTAAAACTAAAAACTGTAAAAACCCTAGAAGAAAATCTAGGCAATACCATTCAGGACATAGGCACAGGCAAAGATTTCACGATGAAAATGCCAAAAGCAATTGCAACGAAGGCAAAAATTGACAAATGGGATCTAATTAAACAGCTTCTGCACTGCAAAAGAAACTTTCATCAGAGTGAACAGACAACCTAAAGAATGGGAGAAAAATTTTACCATCTATTCATCTGACAAAGGTATAATATCCAGCATCTACAAGGAACTTAAACAAATTTACAAGAAAAAAACAACCCCATTAAAAAACGGGCAAAGGATGTGAATAGAAACTTCTCAAAAGAAAATATACATGCAGCCAACATATATATTTTAAAAAGCTCAACTTTAATGATTAGAGAAATGTAAATCAAAACCACAGTGAGATATCATCCCATGCCTGTCAGAAAAGCAATTATTAAAAAGTCAAAAAGCAACAGATGCAGATTAGGTTGCACAGAAAGAATGTTTTTACACTGTTGGTGGGTGCATAAATTAGTTCAACCATTGTGGAAGACAGTGTGGTCATTCCTCAAAAACCTACAGGCAGAAATACTATTTGACTCAGCAATTCAAATCCTGGGTATATACCCCAAAAATATAAATCATTTTATTATAAGGACACACACACACCTGTGTTCAATGTAGCACTATTCACAATAGCAAATATATGGAATCAACCCAAATACTCATCAGTGATAGACTGCATAAAGAAAATTCACACATACACCATGGAATACTGTGCCACCACAAAAAGGAATGAGATTATGTCCTTTGCAGGGCCATAGATGGAGTCGGAAGCCATTATCCTCAGCAAACTAATGCAGGAACAGAAAACCAAACTCCTTATGTTCTTACTTGTAAGTGGGAGCTGAATGATGAGAACTCCTGGACACATGATGAGGAACAATGCACACTGAGGCCTGTTGGTGAGAGGGGTGTGTAGGGGGAGGGATAGCATCAGAAAGAATAGCTAATGGATGCTGGGCTTAGTATTCAGGTTATGGGATGATCTATGCAGCAGATCACCATGGCACACGTTTACCTATGTAACAAACCTGCACATCCTGTACAGGCACCCTAAACTTAAAAGAAAAGTTGAAGATAAAAAAGGTGAATTACATGTTATGTGACTTTCACCTTAATGAAACTTTTCATTTAACATGGGAGAGACTGAAATAAAAGATCAAGGAAATTTTCATACATTTGAAAAAAAAGACTCAGTTAATTAAGAATAGGAAAGAACGTCCTCAACCTGATAAAACATATTTATGAAAAAACTATAGCCAATATATAATGCTAAAAAACTGAATGTTTGCCCCAAATGTCAGGGCAAGGATGTCTGCTCTCACTACTGTCACACATTTTACTGGAGACTTTATTTTCATTATAGCATGTATCACTGCTGATTTATCTTGATTTTTATACTTGTTCATTTTTGTCTTTTTCCCATGATAGTCAGAGACATTGTCTGTCTTGTTCTTCCTATGATAGTGTTTGGCACAAGGTTGGTATTCAATGAATATTTATTGAATGAATGAACTTTCTGGTAGTATTGTATAAGTGAGGTACACTTGTGTGACAAAAACATTTCTATGCCACTTACTTTTCCTCATGAAAACTTTGTTACCAAAAGTTTTATTTTCATCATATATTCCCAGAAAGTAGTTGTCCACAAAAAAATTTTTGTAAAATTTTTCTCCCATATACACACTCCTTCTCCAAGGAAATTCTTTGATAGCCTGACTTTGGCTCATTGATGTCTCCCATAATATGCCTGTTGTTTTATCCAGCATGAGTCATGAATTTTTCTAATAGAATTTCTCCCTTGTGTAGTGGGTTGAATCATGTGCCCAAAAAACACCTATCCCCCGAGAACCTCAGCATATGAACTTATTTCAAAATAGGGTCTTTGCAGATGTAAATAAAAAAAAAAAAAAAAAAAAAAAACAGGGTCTCACTCTATTGCTCAGGCTGGAGTGGAGTGGCATTGCAGATGTAAATTAAAAACAAACAAACAAACAAACAGGGTCTCACTCTATTGCTCAGGCTGGAGTGGAGTGACATAATCCCAGCTCACTGCAACCTCCGCCTCCCAGGTTCAAGCAATTCAGCTGCCTCAGCCTCCCAAGCAGCTGAGATTACAGGCATTCCGCCACCATGCCCAGCTAAGTTTTGTATTTTTAGTAGAGACAGGATTTCACCATGTTAGTCATGGCTGATCTCAAACTCCTAATCTTGTCGATCCGCCTGCCTCGGCCTCCCAAAGTGCTGGAATTACAGGCATGAGCCACCCTACCTGGCTGCTGCAGATGTAAATAGTAAGTAGTTAAGATGAGGCTCTAAGCCCAATGACTGTCATCCTTGTAAGAGGAGCAGAACTGCAGAGACACACACAGGAAAGAAAGGTCATGTGACATTGGAGGCAGAGACTGTAGTGATACCGCTGTAAGCCGTGGAACGTGAAGGATGGCTGAGGGCCAGCAGAAGCTACAGAGGGGCAACAGAAGATTCTTCCCTAGGGATTTCCAAGGGAGGAAGGGAGGCCCTGCTGCCACCTCGATCCTCGATGTCTAGCCTCCAAAACTGTGAGAGAATACATTTCCGTTATTTTAAGTCACCAAGTTTGCGGTCATTTGTTAAGGTGGCCCAAGGAAACTGGTATACCTTGCTATACCACATGATGTTTTTATTACTTTTATAATAGTAATCTTATGTCATAATTTGCTTTTCCAACTACTATTCTGTTGGAAAGCACATGTTGAAATCATTTTACTTTACCATTAAATTAGTCAACACTCAGAATGGTTCCATATTCAAAGCTATTGTCCTACTTTTGTGTTTCATTTTATTTGTTTCACTTATTTTTCTCAGAAGTAATATACCCTTACCAAAAATTCTTTTGGAAATTTAATTTTTCTTTTTCTCTGTCTAGGTATGCTGTTATCAAGTGTCAGCTTGCTAGAAAAAATAGAATGCCTCAAGAAGTCAATCACTTAATGGAAGGAATTAAGCTCTGCCCAATTCTAGGTAAATTGATTTGCCCTATTTGTTTTGCTTTTATAACTAACATACGATGAATAATATGCATAACTTTAAGCTTTTTTCAGTTTAAATAAGTTCAAATATATGAGGGCTAGTTCTCGCGTTCTCCTTTTAACATTGCTTTAACTTTTTCTGGCTTTCCAAATTAATTTGGTAAATTATTCACATGGTAATTGGAACTTTGAAAAAATTGAGTTACTTACATTGCCAAGCTCACTACCTTTTAATAGGTCGATATACAATTTGACATTTTAAGGCTAAATTCAAAATATGAAAAAGCAGCCAAAACACACAGAGCGTGAATACACTGATTTCTAAAATTCATTGTATGTTCAAAGATACGTGCAATATGGCTGAAAAGAAAGAAACAGTGCTGAGTTGGTTTTTGTGCTCCTTTATAAGTTACAGTTTACTTGTTGGGATAGGTTGAGAGTGAGTCTTCAGCAGGAAGAGAGAGCTGGTAACTTATCATGGAAGTCAGCTAGTATAGAGGGGAAAGCACAACATTTGGGGTTAGAGAACTTAGTTTAGATCCCAGTTCTGTGCTATTATGGAAAGGTCATGTAACACTTGAACTCAGTTTTTTCATCCTCAGCTAGTAGTACTGTGTACATGGAAGATGTTCAACAAGTCCTAGTTGCTAATATACCACCCTAACTCACAGGATTCTTGTGACTAAATGACTTCATGTACATACCAGTTCTTTGTAAACTAAAAAGTACTATAAAATAATAGTTACTGTTTTTTCCTGTCACCTGGCCACTAAACATCACAGCATATAAATGCCAGGCACTGGCAATCGCCTTCTTTCAGTGATTTTCCAAGGGCCCTGCCCCCATATCTCCAAGTTTCTTTTCCCTGTTCAGTATCGACCTCCCTCCCTCGCACTTGTTTTGGTGTGCCACTCAGATTCACTCCTCTGTATTATCAGCCTCAGTCTCCTCCATTTGGCTCTGCCTTCTTCCAAATTTCAGGGTACCTGCAAGATAGGTAATGTTGCCTTCTCCGGCCTTACTCCCTGTTTTCTCCATGATTTCCCTACTCCTCTCTGCAATCTCTTTCAACATTCCCGCCGTCTTCACCAGTGGAAGAGATCATTTGGTTAAGTTGATGTGATCACAGTAATTTCTGTCTATGCTTTGTCAGACTGGTGACAAAGCTATGTCTCTATAGCTTAGCTCTGCTTATGTTTTTGCCAGGTCTAAAATCCTTTCATCGTTTCCCATGTCCTTCAGGATAACATTTAGACTCTTTAACATGGAAAGTCCTTGATGTTCTAATACTTGTCTCTGACTTTGCGTGGCATTCCCTACCACTTTCCCCCTCACACCCTAAATGCTACACTAATCTATTGGGTCATGATTGTTCCCTCCCTCATTTCACAAAAACAATTTTGAGCAGTACACTGTGTTTTCTCATACCTCTACTCTAAATGCTCCTCTCTTCCCTTCTTTCCTTTCTAATACCTGTGCATCCTTTGAGATTCAGTTCGGGTATTACCTTCTCTAGGAAACTTTCTCTGTGGGTTATCATAGCACTTCCACCATAGCCATGTCATGCTCTATTTGTTTTCTATTGCTCTGTCACAAATTAGCACACACTGAATGCTTTAAAACAACACACATTTGTTATTTCACTGTTTCTGTGGGCCTGGAGTACAGGCACAGCTTAGCTGAATCCTCTGCTTAAGGTCTCAGAAAGCCGCAATCAAGACATCAGTTGTGCTGCATTCTCAGCCTAATGGTTTGAATGGGGGAAGACTCTGTTTCCCAGCCCAGTGAGGTTGTCCACAGATTCATTTTCTTCTATCTTTAGGAATGGACGCCCTGGCTTCTGGCTGGGTATATGCTGGAGGCTTCCCACAACTGCTGAGGGCTGCACACAGTTCCTTGCCATGTGTGCTCTCCCTGCAGCAAGGCCTCCTACTTTATCCAGCCAACAGGAAGAGTCTTTAAAAAGTCTGATAGCAAGATGGAGTCGTATATGACGTTAACACAATCATGGGAGTGAGACCTCATCACTTACGTCATATTTTATTGGTTAGAAGTCATGGGTCCCATCCACACTCAGAAAGGAGGAGTTTATATTAAGGTGTAAATACCAGACTGCAGGGATTCTGGGGGCTACCTTGGAGTCTGTCCAGCACACATGCTGGTTGTCATTCTTTTTATTGCTGATCTCCTTTGAAAAAGAGTGAGCTTCTTGAGGGAAGGGACTGCTCACCTCCAGATTTTCCACAGCACAGTGGTTGCACACAGTAGCTATCAATGCTCATGAAAAAATGAATAAATAAATAGTAGGATGAAGTAGAATTGTCATGTTTTTATCTGCCTTGTGATTTTGGGGGTGGGGGGAAGGTAAAACCCCATGATGACTGGGAAAAAGGCAAGCTGGAAAAGATAACATTTGAAGTTTAATGTGCAGAAACTGATCAGCTCTCCAGTGCTGAGCCTTGTTCTCTTTGATCACAGAATAGACTCTTCTTTATGTCTACTCTGGAAGAGACTATACCTGAGAGGTTGTGGTAAATTTGATTGTTGTTCAGAAATATTCATTCCTGCTCCACCTACATGAACAAAATATACTTCCTTGCCCTCTGACTTTGAGCTTTTCCCTGTTTTCATCAATGGAATATTAGTGGGTGTAATGTGCCCCCAGGGTTTGGAAAGGAAGTGCATGATTTGGCTTGCTCTTTTTCTCTTCTGCCGTCATCACAAGAGCATGCCTGCACTGGCCCTCTGATCAGAGAAAGATTCAAGGCATAGATCCGAGCTTGCCCAGCCAAGTTTCCCAGCCATTCCCCAGCCAGAGAAGCCAACCACCTATTGCCTGCTGACCTGTGACCAAAACAAATACATATTGCTGATGTCACTAAGCTTTTGTGGTTGTTTATCATATAGCAAGAGAGTTATTATGCAGCAAGGTTGAACTTACATAGGTTATCCAAGGAAAGTATGTACTCAGAAAAGGAAATAACTGTGTGTTCCTCTTGGAGAGAAGGATCGCATGTCATAGTTTCCCAATGGGAGAAACTCACCAGAGATTTAGCAGGTGGGAGGGAAGTGAAGCCATTATGCTTGGGAAGGTGTTCACATCAAGCATGGCAGGTTCCTCAGATATGTGTTTTCACATGTCTCTCCACAGTCTCTCTTCACAGACATGGTGGCTGCACAGATATCTTCATGAACTCATTGTTCTTTTCACACTTTGAGTGGCTAAATGTGTGCAGCTCCTTGTACTCCTTGAGCTCCTGGTTTCCCACTCATGTCAGTGCCTCAGGTTAAAGTGGGTCACAGCTGTTTTTTCAATTCTCTAGCTGTAGCTTCCAGATCTTCACTCCCCTGGGTCCTCCCATACCTGGATAATCCCGAATTCCTGTGTTAGACTCTCACTCTTGTATTACTTGTAGTGGCTCTGTTTTTGTAACTGTACCCAGACTGAAAACAGAACTTAGTAGAAATAACCCATTTGGCAACCATCAGAGCCCATCAGTCAGCACAGATTTTAGCATCTCATTAGCTAAACTATTTTCAGATTAAAAAATAAATTATCAGAGGCAGAGTTTCCATGATCCAACCCGAGAAAGGCATGCAAAATATAAGGCAGTTAGAATTTGTACTTTCATAACTTATTTTGTTAACAAAGTAACAAAATCCCCACCTTTATTACAGATTCCAACCACCAAATCCAAGGTGGATCTCAGAGGGATTTATAATGCTTAAGATTTCCTGGAGGAGAGAAATTCAAAATAATATTTTTTTATGTTGTAAAGAAACATTTCTATATTTGTTTTGCATTATACTCTGCTAATCTAGCCAGGTTTCCTTTTTTGCCTCCTGGGAGTTTTTAACAGGACAGGAATTAAGAGGGCAAATAGTCAAGGTGGTTGATTCCCAGCATTCATTCACAGCAGCAACTGATGTCAGCCAATCACAGTGATCCCATTTCCCTCTCCAGTAACTAGTTTAGAAATGGGGCTGGGCACAGTGGCTCACACTTGTAATCCCAACACTTTGGGAGGCCAGTGTGGGCTGGTCACCTGAGGTCAGGAGTTTGAGACCAGCCTGGCCAACATGATAAAACTCCATCCCTACTAAAAACACAAAAATTAGCTGGGCATGGTGGTGCATGCCTGTAGTCCCAGTTTCTTGGGAGGCTGAGGTAGGGGGATTGCTTGATCCTGGGAGGTGGAGGTTGCAGTGAGCTGAGAGCTCAGCACTGTACTCTAGCCAGGGTGACAAGAGTGAAACCTTGCTTCAAAAAAAAAAAAAAAAAAAAAGAAAGAAAGAAAGAAAAGAAAAAAGAAATGGCATGTGACAGGATTCTGCCTGAGGTGAAACATGCTGGGTGCTTCAGGGGATGATTTTCCCACATCCACTCTTAAAAACCAGACCTTTTAAAATTTTTATTTATTTATTTTTATTATACTTTAAGTTCTGGGGTACATATGCAGATCATGCAAGTTTGTTACATAGGCATACATGTGCCATGGTGGTTTGCTGCATCCACCCCCTGTCATCTACATTAGATATTTCTCCTAATGTTAGCCCTCTCCCATACCCCCAGCCCCTGCTACTCCTCCCCAAACCCCCCACCCCCTGACAAGCCCCGCTGTGTGATGTTGCCCTCCCTGTGTCCATGTGTTCTCATTGTTCAACACCCACTTATAAGTGAGAACATTCGGTGTTTGGTTTTCTGTTCTTGTGTTAGTTTGCTGAGAATGATGGTTTCCAGCTTCATCCATGTCCCTGCAAAGGACATGAACTCATCCTTTTTATGGCTGCATAGTATTCCATGGTGTATATGTGACACATTTTCTTTATCTAGTCTATCATTGATGGGCATTTGGGTTGGTTCCAAGTCTTTGCTATTGTAAACAGTGCCGCAATAAACATACATGTGTATGTGTCTTTATAATTGAATGTTTTATAATCATTTGGGTATATACCCAGTAATGGGATTGCTGGGTCAAATGGTATTTCTAGTTCTAGATCCTTGAGGGATCACCACACTGTCTTCCACAATGGTTGAATTAATTTACACTCCCATCAATAGTGTAAAAGTGTTCCTATTTCTCCCCATCCTCTCCAGCATCTGTTGTCTCCTGATTTTTTAATGATTGCCATTCTAACTGGCATGAGGTAGTATCTCAATAAGGTTTTGATTTGCATTTCTCTAGTGACCAGTGATGATGAGCTTTTTTTCATATGTTTGTTGGCTGAATAAATGTCTTCTTTTGAGAAGTGTCTGTTCATACCCTTTGCCCACTTTTTGATGGGTTGTTTTTTTCTTATAAATTTTTTTAAGTTCTTTGTAGATTCTGGATATTAGCCCTTTGTCAGATGGGTAGATTGCAAAATTTTTTTTTTCTCATTCTGTTGATTGCCACTTCACTCTAATATAGTTTCTTTTGCTGTGCAGAAGCTCTTAAGTTTAATTAGATCACATTTGTCTATTTTGGCTTTTGTTGCCAATGCTTTTGATGTTTTAGTCATGAAGTCCTTGCCCATGCCTCTGTCCTGAATGGTATTGCCTAGGTTTTCTTCTAGGGTTTTTATGGTATTAGGTCTTATATTTAAATCTTTAATCTATCTGGAGTTAATATTTGTGTAAGGTGTAAGGAAGGGATCCAGTTTTAGCTTTCTACATACAGCTAGCCAGTTTTCCCAACCCCATATTAAATAGGGAACCCTTTCCCCATTGCTTGTTTTTGTCAGGTTTGGCAAGAAGACCACTTTTTCCTCTGGATTTTGCTGTGTCTGGTGTGGTTACCAGAATGGCCATAGCTCTCTTGCCGTGCATCTGAAGATGAAGACAACACCTCAGACAGTAAAGCATGCAGTGAAAAGAACTATGTCCTCCGTGACATTGTAGAGTCACTGCAACAGTCAATCCAGCCCTCCACTCTGGCTTTTCTCTTATGTGAGATAAAACATTCTCTTATTGTTTAAACCGGGTTGACTTGGCTTTATATTTCTTGTAATCAAAAGCATGTGGAGTCAGAAAGGCCCAAACATGGTTAGAAAGAGCTGGAGTTCATCCATCAGTAATATGTTCATGGAAAACAAAGTAGATATTTTTGTCAAGGCACAGACAGAATTTAGTCTTAAATTAATTACAAGTAAATATTAGTATCAAAAGTACAAAAATTAAAAATCACTGGAGGCTTCAGGATACCCATAGGATAATGGCGACTGTGTAAACTCAAATCTCTCTGTGTATCTTTCTCTCCTTTTTGTTTTGTTTTGAGATGGAGTCTCACTCTGTCACCCAGGCTGGCGTACAGTGGCTTGATCTCAGCTCACTGCAACCTCCGCCTCCTGGGTTCAAGCGATTCTCCTGGCTCAGCCTCCAGAGCAGCTGAGATTACAGGTTCCTGCCACCACACCTGGCTAGTTTTTGTATTTTTGGTAGAGACAGGGATTCACCATGTTGGCCAGGCTGGTCTCGAATCCGTGACCTCAAATGATCCACCTGCCTTGGCCTCCAAAAATGCTGGGATTACAGGTGTAAGCCACCATGCCTGGCCTCTCTATGTATCTTTCTATAAACCAAAGACAGAAAAAAACAGTCACTTGTAGCCCATGTCTATAATGTAAGGAGGCAACAAATATTACAGGGTTCATTTCATATGTAAGTGAGTGAAATAAGCACAGAAGGCAAACAGAATTTGTCCTGCAACCCATAATAGGCAGTGAACCCAGAGGCAACCAGGAAAAAGGGAAGAGAATGCAGTGATCTTTTAGAGTTAACAGAACACAAATAGTGCCAACTAGAGTTCATCCCCAGAAAGCAAGATCCCCATGCTGTATGGAAATATAGATCTAGAAACGTAGACATTAGATCTATATCCTTCTTTTGAAACGTATCATCAGTTTATTTTCCTGTTTATATGGCCTATGTGATAAAGATGAAAGTCCTTTGCATGACATATGAAGCTTTCCTGATCTGGCCTCAGCCTCCCTTCCAGCTCGACAAAACTTTTTGTGTACTATAACATTGTGTTTTTGGATAGACAAATCTAGGATGAGTCTTGTTACTAGCTGGATATCTTTGGTCAAGTTACTATAGGTTGCTCAGACTCAGTTTCCTCAGCTGTAAAATAATAATAATACCTGCCCATCATGAGTGTTGTGTCTGAGTTAAATATCATCCCTATGGACTGCTTAGCATTGCACCTGGCACAGTGGAAGTACGGGTGCATCCACTCTAATCACCCCTAACCCTGTCAAGTCCTCGCATACCTTTGTGCTTATATGATGTGTGCTATTTTTTCTATCTAATGTTTTCTCACCTCCTTTTCTGTATAGCAAACTGCTCCCCATGTTTCAAAGTCTGAGTCTGTTTTCACTTAGACATAGTGATTCCCTCCCTGGGTTCCCAAAGCAGCTTTTCCCCTGCACATCAACTGGCCCTTAGCAGGGACTCAGTAAATATATGTTCAAGAGTGGACGAACAAAGCATAAAAAGATTGAGCAAGATGGAAAGAAATGACTTATGACAAATAAAGTTACTTATAAAACACGAAGTTTAGAAAGTTTAAAAAAGGTTGCTCACATTCGTTCAGATGGTCTTTAGCATTATCCTACAAATGCAGGAGCTTCTCTTTTCATTGTTTTTCCTGTTATAACTATTAAATTTCTATTTTTCATAATTCTCACCACAGATGAAATTTTTCTTGAGTCACCAACTGCAACAAATGGCATCACAGACACTTATGAAATGGAGGAGGAGGAGGAGTGGAAGAATGACTATTCATTATATGCTTCACTATATGAAAATGACACAGACGAGCCCAGGGAAGAGGAAGTGGAAGATCTGATCTCCTGGACCAACACTCTCAATACAAATACTTTAGAAGATTAAGCAGCACAGGATTTAAAAAGTAAACAGCCTCCACCACAGCCCAGCATTGTGGAGCCGTTTTGGAAGACTCTCAGAACTTGGATTCCATTTTTTTCAAGTTGTTCTCATCCTCTCACTGCAAGTACAAATTTGAAATATAAGTACAAATCAAATATAAGTAAAGATGTTGCTTTGGCTTTTTTCAGTGCTGCTTCTTTAGAACTAACTTACCCAAGTTAGGGGTGTTCGTTGCTAGATGCTAATCAATGGGGTTACACTCCCACGGTGTCTTGCCGGCAGGAAATGGGTTGGAAAGAGGCTGGGATAGGAGGGGAGCAGTTAAGAGCCTAAGAGGCTGGACATGAACCCGAGAAGAGGGATCTATACATGGACCTACCTCTGCCTGGTTTCTTGTCTTGTTTTCTCCATATTCAAGGAATGAGATGTCACTATTTACAAATGTTCCTCTTCTGTTTTATCTTAGAGTACATCCCATTTTCTCTTCAACCTTGACCTTCTATCTCCTCACATTCTAACTGTATTTTCTCTGTCTCTTTGCCATGTTGTCTCCTGTACGCATGCTTGCATATCTCCTATTCTAAAATATGCCTCTGCCTTTGGCCCTCCATCTCTGCTTACCTCACCATTATTCACTCACGTTTCTCAGTCAGATTTCTTGATAGTAGCCTATCATTCTGTCTCTCTATTTCTTTCATACATTTCACATCTGCATCTACTGCACAATGAAATCTATCTTCCACTCATTCTGCTCCACTAAAATTTGCCGGGATCACCAGTCATTTTCTTATTGCCAAAACTCATGTTTGATATTATTGATCATCTTCTTATTTTGAAATGTTTATTGCCATGGCTTCATGGCTTCAAAGAGACCTATTTTGAGGCCTACATACCTACACACATACATCTCCTCAAAAACGCCACACACATCTGTGTGTCTGACCTTGGGTATAGTTGTTAAATATGTCTCTCTCTCATTTCTAGGGAAACTGATTTTAGTTCTCACAGAAAAAAGAAAGCTCTGCTACATGCATCGAGTCCCTTGGCACTTTCCCGGCTAGCTAAATATTTCCGAGCCTACCTCAGACAGTAGGGCCCCAAATGACTATAGTGCCTAACTTTTGCTATCCCCCTCTAACCAGAACCACAACATTCTGACGGCTAGCCCAGATTTCCCCCTCCTTTTACAGTGCCAAAGTACAGTCATGAGCCAACTCATGGCTTGGTAACAATGAGGAGAGTTGTTTTTACACCCAAAGATAAGAACTGCTCAGAAAGGCCCATCCCATGCCTCGGTCAAACCATAGGATATAGTTGAAAGATGCATTTTGCTGATGATCCCACCAACAGAAGCCAGGACTTTGACCTTCTGTCATTCTAGAAGGACAAATACGTAGGCTGTCAACAGATAAACAGCAGTCACCAAGAAATTAAACCCAAAGGACCAAAATATTTCCTTGATACCAGCTACCACATATTCTATTTTCTATTCAATCTAAATCTTTCTTTCAAGACAGGGAAGTTACACCTGTTGCTTTTTTTTTGTTGCAGCCATGAGACCTGAGGATGGAAGCAGGGTGCTGAGGGGAGATGGGAAGATCTGAAGTTTTTGGAGTAAAGGCATTAGTCAGTAGAACAGGGGATTTATTTAATTACCTTCACAATATCGCTGGCCATTTACTGTGGATCTCCAACAGGGACCTCCTTTCTACCCCTAGCCCTTGTTGAAACGTTCTTTTGGGATCCAGCCTAATGCTCTTTTTTATACACTTTTCTTGGACAGTCTTGCCACTATCAGAGTTTTACCACCCGCTCTTGTTCTCATTCTCTGACTTGTTTCTGCCTGTTTTAAAAGACATCTTCCCTTCCATGTCTCCTATGCATCTGAAATGCAACATGCCCCAACTTAAGCTCATTTCCTCCTCCTCTTCCCACCCCCATAAGACCTCCCTGTGCCTCTTGTTCCTGCTTTCAATTAATGGAACAATCTCGAGATTAAAAACTTAGGGGGCATTGTAGACTTCTCTCTTTCACTATGGCCAGTTAGTCACTAGGACGTGCAGAATTTCCTTTTATATACGTTAAGTCCCTGTTTTCCTCCCTGTCCTTGCCATCACTCTGTATTATGAAGCCCTTTTAATTGATAGGTGATATTATACTTTTCTTTGATGACATCACTAACCTTCCTAAAATCCTTCAAAGAAACTCTGCCTAATAGATAATGTCCAAATCATAATACCCTTCATGAGTCAGCCCTCACCCACTCTTTCTACAGCTCCCCGCCTTGTGTGTCTTAGTCCATTTGGGCTGCTACAAAAAAGTATCATAAATTAGATCGTATACAAAGAGTAGAAATGTATTTCTCACACTTCTGGAAACTTGGAGATCCAAGATCAAGGTGCCAGTAGATTCGGTATCTGGTGAGAGGCTACTTCCTGGTCCGTAGATGGCCATCTTTTCATTATAACTTCACAGGGCAGAAGGGGTGAGGGGTCCCTCTTAGACCTCACAGATCCTATTTATGAGGGCTTCACTCCCATGACCAAATAATTTCCCAAAGGCCATACTGGAGAAATGGTACCTCCGGATACCATTCCCTTGGGGGTTAGGATGTCAATATGTGAATTTGGGTGGACACATACATTCAGACCACAGCGTAGTGCCTCATATTACCGAACTTGTACGCCCCCTCCTCGCCCCCACATAACAGCATTTTCCTGCTTCCCTGCCTTTGCTTGTGCCATTTCCTCTACCTAGGATTCCTTTTCTCCATCTTCTCTTGGCTAATGCCTGTTCAGCCCCTAAAACTCATCTCAGGCATCACTTCCAGAGTTTCCTCTGCACTCCACACATCCCACCCAGGCTGGGTCGCTCTCTGGCTCTCTGGCTGTCACTCTGTGGGCACCATAGCAGATGTGTATGTGTCTGCAGTTTTCTTGGAATTGTCTGTTTGCCTATTTACCTCTCCCATTAACCCATCAAAGCAGAAGCCACCCAGACAGAATCCATCCTAACAATATTTGATAATATAGGACTACATTCCAAGAGCTGCCACAGTGCCTCAAACATAAGCTCCTGTTTCACTGTGTTAGAGTCTACTGTTAAAAAATAAACTTGGAAATTTTTATCAAATAAGTGAATTCAAAAGTAACAAAAAAGGAACCTTTAATAACAAGCATAAGTACCTTGAGAGAGCTGATTCTGGAAGGAGGCACTAGGTTTTTCTTTTTTTTTTTTTTTTTGAGACGGAGTCTTGCTCTGTCACCCAGGCTGGAGTGCAGTGGCACAATCTCAGCTCACTGCAACCTCCACCTCCTGGGTTCAAGCGATTCTTCCACCTCAGCCTCCTGAGTAGCTGGGACCACAGGTGTGTGCCACCATGCCCCTAACTTTTTTGTATTTTTAGTAGAGACAGGATTTCACCGTGTTGGCCAGGATGGTCTCGATCTCTTGACCTCATGATCCACCCGCCTCGGCCTCCCAAAGTGCTGGGATTATAGGTGTGAGCCACCACGCCCGGCCAGCACTAGGTTTTTAAAAACAGCTTTATTGAGGAATGATTGACAGGGAAGAAGTTGAACTATTTAAAGTACACAATGTAAGCTTTTGTATGTGATGCATCCATGTAATCCTGCAACTATCAATATTGGGAACATATCCATCACCCCAAAAGTTTCCCCTGCTTCATGATGATACGTCTCTCCTGCTCCTATTTTCTGCCCTTACTTTTCATCCCCTGTCAATCACTGGTCTACTTTCTGTCACTGCCAATTAGTTTGCAATTTCTAGTTTTATACAAATGAAATTATGCTGTAAATGCTTGTTTTGTGTGGCCCATTTCACTCAGCATAATTATTTTGAGATTTCTTTATCTTTTGTATATATAATTTCATTTTTATTGCTGAGTAGTATTCCACTGTATGGATATACCACAACTGGGTTATACATTCACCTATTGGTGGACATTTGTGTTATTTCCAGTTCGAGATGATTACAAATATAAAAGTTGCTATAGCAAATCCATTCTAAGATGATTGACAGTGAGTCAAACTCTTATATAATCCTTGAGTGTAAATAGAAGCTGTGTCTTCTGGTCAATAGAACATAGCAAAGGTGATGCGATGCCACTGCTGTCATTACATTATGTCATATTAGACTCCATCTTAAGCAAACTAGAGAGGGATTCTCCTGCTAGCTTAGAAGAAGTAAGCTGTCATGCGGGAAGGCGACCTGACAGGAATTGCTGGCAACTGCAGGAGCTGAGAGGAGCCACTGGCTGACAGTCAACAAGAAAATAGGGACCTTGGTCCTACGAACTCAAGAAATTGAATTCTGTCAACAACCATGTAAGCTGTTTTGACCTGCTAACTTTGTGATAATTTGTTTATAGTGATAGAAAATTAATGCAGCTTGTATGAACATTTGTGTATAAGTGTTTACATGGACTATAGTTTCTCTTGGGTAAATAGAACTGAAATGGCTGGATCATATGGTAGGTGTATGTTTAAGTTTTAAAGAAATTGTTAGGGCTGAATATGGTAGCTCACACCTATAATCCCCACACTTTGGGAGGCTGAGGCATGGGGATTGCTTGAGTTCAAGACTAGTCCTGGGCAACATAGTGAAACCCCTATCTCTATTAAAAAGAAGAAAGAAAGAAGGGAGGGAAAAGGGAGAAAGGTAGGAAATTGTTTTGTTTTGGGGTTTTTCTTGAGATGGGGGTCTCACTCTGTCACCCAGGCTGGAGTGCAGTGGCACAATCATAGCTCACTGCAGCCTCAACCTTCCAGGTTCAAATGATCCTCCCACCCCAGCTTCCCGAGTAGCTGGGACTACAGGCACCCACCACTGTGCCTGCCTAATTAAACAAATTTTTTTTTCTTTTTTTCTTTTTCTTTTTTTTTTTTTTTGTAGAGATGGGCTCTCAGTCTGTTGCCCAGACTGGTCTCGAACTCTTAGGCTTCAGCAATCCTCCTTCCTAAGCCTCCCAAAGTGCTCAAATTACAAGTGTGAGTTACTACACCCGGCCTGGTCAATCTTTTAAATGTTAGCCATTCTAAGATGTGTAGAAGATTCTCATTTTAATTTGTATTTCCCCAAAGACTGTGATGATGAGCATTTTCTTATGTGCTTATTTGCAAACCTTTTAACTT